ATTCTATAATTGCTGTATTTTTTATCATAACGAAATATTGAAAATATTTTTTTCATGTAAATAATTAATGATATTTCTCATCTAACAATATGTCTATTGATTTAAAAATTGTTATATATTGATAAAAATGTGTTGAAACATAGTAGAATTATACTTTACTATATAACATTGCAATTGAATTATATATAGGTTAATAAATTATGTATAATTATATACATCTCAAATTCGGAAAGTGCAGTATGATATTCTTCTGTACTATTATTATCTGGACAGCAAGAACACATAATTGTGGATTTTATTGACTAATTATCTATTTCACAATAAAATTTTGAAAATTTTGAAAATTTGTGCCGAAAAGGTTTTTTACAAATTTAAAAATTACGTCAAAATTATAACTTTACATTATAGCGTCAATCGATCAAGAACTATCGACTGCTCTTCTCATTATCCTTCATGACACAGAATAATTTGTATGCATTATTTCCTTATAAAAGGAAACTTAATTATAATTGTGCATTTTGATTGGATATTATTGAAGCATATTAAAACGAAATAAGGCAAATTTCCTAATGTATTATATAATTATACAGAAGAATAAAAAAAAATTAAATAAAAACAAAGGTTAGGTACAAAAATTTCAAGAATTTTATGAAAATATATGCACAAATTAAATAAGACTTTACTCATGTCGACGCGAGTGACTTATGAATTGCTCGAGCTACAATGTCATTTAACAATGCCATTTGTTTACCATACGAATATTCACCTTATTCCTTTTTCTTTCAATATAGATTAACTTTAATTTAATCTTGATTTAACTTATTCTTTATTTTTTTTCTAAGAATTCTAAGAATTAAAAAAAACATAATTATCTTTCATATTTCTCTCTTACATTTTGACTATCTCTCTACGTTAGTCAATCGAAATCTTTTGAACTAAAAAATTATTCATTTAACGGACTATGAAAACCTAACATGCCGCGTGGATAATCAATTCATGTTTACGTGTCTGGAAATCAGTGCTTCACTGATGTATTTATTTATCATCGTCTTGTCAAACGACAAAATTGTAACTTGATATTCATTAGATTTAAATAGCAGCGCGCTGTTCTTCCGGATGACAATCGAGCTTTTAGATAACGTATGATTACGCAACCGGCATAACATAGACCTGTCATGTGATCTCTCTCAGTTACACGCACTGTCTCTCTCAAAGTTACACGCACGCACGCAAATGGGCGCGAACACGTAGTACGGTGGGCGCGTGCGAAGGACCACACACCGTGCGATATTCAAATGAACGCCACTTACGACCGACAATCGCATTGCCATAAATGTCATTTCGCGGTTTCACGGGTGCGTCTCCTTATTCCGATCGAATTTCTCCGCGTGATTTTTACAGTTTACATAAAATATCGATAGTCATCTCTGTGGATCTTACAGTTAATTAACGATAAGATATCGCTTAAATTTGAAGAAATTGTAAAAAATTGTTATTTCATTAACACCTTGGTTGGAATTCATATATGGTATGATTCGCAATATTCGGCGATAACTGCTCCGAATGTATAATGCTATTTAAATTAAAATTATTCAAAAAATCATAGGAAAAGAAATTTAACATATATTTATAAATTAGCGTTATTGCTTGCTAATAAATACATTTAAAAAATCTAGAAAAAAAAACATAAAAATATATTTATAAGTGAGCAATATTGCTTGCTAATATAAATGAATTAAATGTTTGATAATTTATGTGATAATATAATTGAATTGTTGAAAACAATTTTTAATAATGTCAATTTTATATACATATATTTACGTAATGTAGTTATATTAGATGTATGTCTTATGACAAATTTGATTGGATGCATTCAGAAAATACTGCATGCACATTAATGTAAAGGTATAGGTGTGTTTAATATAAATATAGACCTTTACCTTTACATTAATTTGTGTACGACGACTTTAATGTGCATGCAGTTTTTTCTGAATGCATCCAATCAAATTTGTCATAAGACATACATCTTCTAATATATATAACTACATAACATACTAGTACGTCCAACCGAATTTACTATTAGATTAATTTTTTCTATTGTAATTTAATATCTGGAATAATTGAGATAAAATTAAATATGCGCGAAATTGTGTGACGGAAATTAAGAATGTAATAAGCGGAACAGCATTTAATACTATATTCTCTAGTAACCGAATTGATCAGTCTACTTCGAAATGCGCAAGATAAATGACACTTGGCGATATTGAATAAACACTCGATACGCGGTGAAATCTATGCATTCATAGCAGCCAACGTAGTAAAATATTTCTAGAAAGAATTCATCCACTGATAGATGACGGGGGATTTTATAAATATTGATGGCCGCTCGTCTTACATAGATGACATGGGTCAGAGCTTTTGATTTTGGTTTTCCGACGAAGATAGACGAAGATCGGAAATATGGCCATCGCACTGATGACGCCAATGATGATGATGATGATAATGATGATGATCATCATGATGATGATGGAGGTGGTTCTTGATATTGGGTTCTTCGAGGAGAATTCCTACTGGGTAGAGTGCGAAGCGCCGTGTACAACGACACCTTCGCGTCTGCTTCGAATCTGTAATTCAAATTCGAAAGTCAAATTAATTTAACGCTCGTCATTTTTCACGTTTCGGTGGCGCCGCGCCGCGGCACGCGGAGCCTCGGCAGCTATCTTTCGATATTTCATCCCGTAGAAGGCCGTGCCCACTCCCCCTGTGATAGATGCATCTTTCCGTGATTGTGCTGTCACGCTCTTGAAACGAGGAAGACGCGCCACGAATATTTCAAGTATTATAAATGCGCGGCCGTGGGAGCGAATGATAGTCGACATTTCGCTACCGATTCGTACACGAGAGATTTATCTTATTCCTTGCATTGACCTTGTGCAAGATTCGTACAGATGATGTGTAAGTTACATAGCGTCATGTAAATTTGTTATATCGCATGTGCGTTAATTACAGAAGTAAGTTCTTCACTAGATTGCTCAATTTATATAAACGTATTGATATTTCTAAAAATAACGATAATATTTACGATTTGATGCTATTGAAGTACATTCCCAAACTAGATGCTCCTATTTCGAGAGTTATTATGAGTTAACAAGTTTCGCAGGTTATAAATATCTCTCACCTTATAACCTATCGATATTGAACGATGCACGGTGGTTGAAACCAGTCGGCAAGCCGTGAGTAGTGCTTATAATCGCGTTAGTCTAATCGGTGCTATAGGGAGTCCGTTTCAGAGTTGAAAGGGACCAAAGGCACTAAAACGGTCCTATTAAGCCTCTATAGACCGCCACAATTGGGCCACCCAATCCCCAATACAATAACGTAGTAACTTTTCGGGGAACCAAGTCTATCTGGGTTCGTGAAGGGGATTGAAACGATTTCATGCTTGTCACCACTATTCTCATTTCCTTGGAAACTAAATCTAAGCACATTTCTTCAAACTCATCTCAGTATGAGATCTCTGTGTTTTTTCAAATAGTTAATTAATCTTAGAATGCGTAGTTTAAACGAATGATTTTTAATATATAGAAATAAATTAATCATGTAATAACATGTTATCATTACTACACAGCATATGAAAAAATGTAAAAATGTTTTTTAAATTTAATATTTATATGTGATAAAATATACATATATTGTGAAATTTATATTATACTGGCATTAATTGTTATTGATACGATGTGATAATTCGCTTTACGTGAAATATTTTCGAAATTTTTTAACACTTGTTTTCAATGTAAATTAAATTCAATTTTGATTCAACTAATTCCTAGAATTAGAAAAAGATGTAAAGTTAGTTGAACCAAGATGAAAGTTAAACCTCTTTTGTGGAACGGTTATAAGAACGCGAAAAAAAAAAAAATACGTGAACACCTTTCCATAGGCTTAATCCGTTGATTCTTTTTCTTCTTCACCCTCGGCGATGAAGGAAAACCGATGTGATGCATGACTGCTCTCCCGTAAATTATTATATAAGCGCCACCCTATCTCCGAATCTGCGAAGTTTCAGAAATCTCTTTCTCGTTTCTCCATTTCTCCTGCCTTCTACCTTCATAGATCACAAAGAAACCGCCAGTAAGTTCACGGCAAAGTTTATAGGAGACAAAAGGGAAAATGTGTTGCCCGCTGAAAAATCGCCGGCGCTGCAGCTATTATTAATCTGTGTCCGACACGCGTGAGCGCCGGTTGCGATGTGTTTTCATGACATAATTCGGAATCGATTTAACTTCTTAGCACCCCTGCGTGACGTGTAAAGGACTTTTACTTGCTGCACCCGTAACTCAGGACGTACAACATTCCGGCTTTTAAGTCTCATTACCATACCTCCTTCGTTTGCCGCTCGGTTCTGCATCCTATTACATAGCTATTACACTGCCGGTTTACTCGACCGGTTACCGGTACCTGAATATTTATTTAACCGATTACTTTTTTCATCGACTCCAGGGAAATTCGATCGCCGTCGCGCTTGCTGCTTCGTAAAATTATGGGAAGCGAATGAAGGACGGATAAAAGGCTGCTGCTCTTTCAAAGGCGGCGCTATATTATTATATGCATTCTTATAATATCGCACTTGAGATTATTAATAACATTATTTAGTCAAGGTAACTAACTATGTATAATCCGTATAAATAATTATATGGTAAGAATGTTAATAAGAATCACTTATTATAAAACGAGCGATTCTACGAAGTAATTTAACAACGGACATGGAATATTTAACTCACATGTGTACCCTAATATAAATATACGTATTTAATATTTCTCAAAAGCAAGTCTCTTTAGCTGGCTCCGGTCATGTAAAATTTCATAAATTTAGATTGATTATTAAAAAGTAAATTGTTTCTTTGTAACGCCAATTACCTTCTTGAAATGTAAAGTTACAAAATTAAATTGCAATCACTAATGTTGCCAAAAGTAAAAATTTTTGCTCTCTTTCCTTACAGATTCTTTAAAGTGATGGATGATTTCACATCGACATGCGGTGAAGGTGAGTTTGCATTACTTCAAATATATTTCAAACAAAATTCCTCGACTCAGAAATCGAAGTAACTTCATTTCATCTACCACAATCGTGGATAATAATGCAACGCTTTGCATTGATTGCGAGCAGTTGAATTGCTAAAATATTTGATGAAAGTTACAAGACTCATGTCTGATCGGCGCCAACTAAAATGCATCAGGTTCGACAACAGTAGGAAATAGCTCTACGAAACTTTATATCAGCAATCATAAAAAAGAAACATCGAACATTGATGGGTACTCGTGTTTCTAGCGAGAAAAATCTTGCAGAAGTTTTCGCTTGAATAAAACTGCTGATCACGACTGTACGGATGCATCCTTTCCTAATTTACTCTCTCGATTACGGCTCGATCGTGTTGTATGTTGTGAGAACGAATGTAGAAGTTGGTGGTTGTTTTACTCGCGCGATTGTACGATCCGGCTTCTGTGTTTCGAATGAGAAGAATTCGACAAAGACGACGACTACGACGATTGGAAACGAATTCGACCGGAGTTCGAGAAGCGAAGGATCGCCCACGCGCGAAGTATATACCGGGGCGTTGTTAATTATCTGCCGCCGTTTATCAAGCAGTAGAGAAGAAAGTTCCCTTGAGCGTTTCTTCTTCTCTCTTCTACTCTCGTTTCTCTTTCTCCATCCGTCGTCGCTTTCTTCCTTTTCTTCTCTTCTCTGCGTGTATAACCTCGCGTCCCTCCATTTTTTCTCATGCCAAACGGCCACTCATATCTATGAGGCTGCGTTTGGTGTACATGTACACCGTGATTTAAGAATCGAGTTTTGATCTCTGGTTTATTTCGAGGTTATCTTAAATCTTTATGTATCTGAGATCTATTGTCTTCAAGGTATACTTTTTCAAGACAGTTATCTTCGGACGCTCGAAATTTTGAAATTTATTCGAGAGACCTGTTTTATTAAACTTACACAAAATTCGAAACTTTCAAAATTGTTGGAATTTGCAGAATTCCTCGGGAAGTTTATAAGATGTGAATTAACTAATGTAATCATCTCGGATTTCTGCTGTCGAAATTACACAACCGAGCATGTTCGGTTACGTTATCGCAACTTACTGGATTTGTACATGAGAAACTTATGAATCAACTCGAACTTGGAAGGTGGAACGGTCCATCGAAGAACAAGTTGAGACGCATTCCAAAGCAAAAGAAGCTGTTTAGTTGCTAATCTATCGAACCACCACTTAGCATTTATCAATACCGTATATCCAATGTCTAATACGAAAACGCTAGTCGATCGTATAGGGACGCTCGTACGCAAGTATCTCGTCACATTCATTAAATTGATTATTAATTCTCAAATACATTTAAAAATCAAGTTTAGAGTAAAGTAGCGCCAATTTTTTATTCTTTTCATTTTTCATATTTAAATTTATCTTTAATTGATATTCTCAATGGATCCAGACGTTTTCTTTAACTATGTTGGGAAAGTTGTTTATAACAATTTTTTTTTTACAATTTTACATAATCTTATTTTTCGGATTTTGATCTTCACAATGAAAAAATCGTTTAATTACGTTAATTTTAAACAAAGTTACATTACTCTTAATATACATATGAGGATTTTCTGATCTTTTACTATATACACAAGAAGTTTATTTATGCAATCTTGGATTTTTCTTATTTAATAAATATATTAATAAATATATTAAATATATAAATTTATTAAGTGATTCTTACACATAATTTAACATCTTTAAAAAGTATTTATAATATTGTATATTAAAAAAAATTGTACATAAGATTGTGTATTTAAAAACATTGTATGTATAAACATTATAATTAACAATAAGTAACAATACTTGGTAGTTTTTCGAAGAAAAGAAATGTGTACCAAGGAATAATTTAAGTATTCATAATTGATTCTTATATTTAGAACTGTCTTAAGTGCAGTCTTAAGATGTCATAAGCCAATCACAGAACCGTATTAGTATCTTAAGACGAACATAAAATAAGAATTGATTATAAATACGGCTTTAAAATATACTGTGAATATCAGTTAAAGAAGCAGAGTGAATACCGATTAAGGTTTATATATTTCACGAATTGTCTCAATGTGTATCTAATTATTTCTGAAAGTAAAATATAAATTATTACACTTCGAAAGTATTAGGCATGCTCTAGTCTTTTTGCGCGAACTCAAATCATAGTATGATTTGAATTCGCGCAAAAAGATAATTATCATATTAATTTTCGTTCAAGCATTTTGCAAAAACCTTCATTCTTGGTGCATTTTGCGACATACTCCATATACGTACACATTGCGATCGAACTTAAAATCATTCGATTGATTTAAAGCGGCAATAATCGGCAGCTTGAAAAGACTCTCTAACAAGCCGGTGATATTTTCATGTTTATGTACGCCAGACATTAACGTCTCCCCTCGTTTGATGGTTCTTATGTGTAAGGCCGGCGGAACTTTACACTCTTGTGGTACTAGGATCTTTCCCGTATTCTCGGTACAAGACGACCAGGATCTACCAGAGGCTATTTGAGCTGACGTATGTCAGCCTCTCGCGTATATATCATATTGCCACATTTACTACGTCGCTTCGGGTCATACTTCACGACTACTCCAGTAGCCCGAAAACCAACCTTCACACCGTACGGGGAGTGGCATATGCAATTCCGGGTGCGCCGCCCGCCTTTTATTCCTTCGTCGGCGATATCTTGGGGGCACGAACGAAAACAATATTTGCATGCGACCGCCCACCCTCGTCCATCAGTATGCACGAGGTTGTATTCGATCCCTTCCGTCTCTTCGTTTCGCGCTGTTTGAAACGTGACGGATCGAAGTTCATTACAACAAATTTCTACTTCGTTCAAAGTTACTTAGCGAAACATTTTTATACGCTTTCCTGAATTTCGAATTATGTTAAACTAAAATAAGCAAAACTCAATTTTCTTGTATGTGAAAGAAACTTATAATAAAGCAAAACACTGTTCGAAATCTCTCTCGCGGCATATAGTAATTATATTTAATCTTAATCTTTTTAGAAAACTAACATTTTATTCGATCTCGTTAACTAAATAGTTTATAAGTACGGAACGAAAATTTTAGTAAATTGTAATTTTTAAGTGATATACAATATTTCTCTCTCTCTCTTTCTCTCTCTCTCTTTCTCTTTTTCTTTTTTAATAATATCCTGAAAACATAAATGAAAATCGTGATTGCGTGTGCGAAAATGTTTTAAGTACACAGCAATGCTCATAAATCTATAATATTAACGACGAATGCGAAATAAGTTTAAATAAAAAGATTAATATAAAAGACAATTTTTTTTTACATAATAACATAAATTTAAAGATTCCGATGATCGTATTTTTTATATTATATTATATTGTACTATTTTTTTATATTATATTATATTGTACTATTTTTTTATATTATATTTTACAAATTTAAAGCGACTGTACGTTTGCAAATAATTGCATCAATGTGAAGACTATACTTTGAATTGATCATGGGCGCATCTTTAATTAATGATATTGCTGAATATACATATATAAGGCACATTTTCGACCAACAAACATTATTATCATCATGCTTCAGCTCCCGTCGAGCAACGTTTGATTTCGGCTGCCAAACAGCAGGGTGCTCAGAAAGACTTCCGTAATATCTCTCTGATCATACTTTCACCGATGTACAGATATACAGACCCAATATAGACATGTATATATGTACACATTATTCAAGTGTCAATCTATGAATTTCACTTCTTCGAATGCCGAAAATTTTCGATGAGCGAAATTCTATATGCCTATTTTTTCCTTAATATCAATACGCTTGTCCTACGGTGAATTTTAGTTTTTATGATAAAACTAATTATTAATTCAGTTATTAAAGAAGGATGTAATATATAATTATTTTATTTAACTTATAAAAATAGGAGGGTGGAATAATATTCGGCAAAAATGTTATTTTTGAAAAAAATGGCATTTATTAATGTCTGCCAAAGTAATCGTGAGTCTTCGACAATCTGCTTAAGGATCGAGATTATTTGTTAGCATAAAGACAGCACTGCTCCACAGGGGTGCTGGCTCCAGATTCACATTAGATGTCGACGTGTTCTGAGAAGATTCCTGTCCGCTAAGAGTACATTTCTGGCGTATGCAAAATTGAGATGACCTCGTGATAGATCCCAACGTGAAATGAGGATATCTTGTAAATTATGTACATTGTAAACAATGTACGCGTACATTGATGTCGAATTATATCTAATTTTCTTTATTATTCCCTGATTTGTTTCAATTGTTATTATATTCTAACGAAAACATTATTCTATAATTTACTAAAATTTCATGACTGATCAATGATCCAAAAAATATAAAAAGTCAAAAAGAAAACTTGTCATGTATTACGATAATATAAATAAAGAAAAGTGTTAAAAAAAGACTGATTTAAAAAGATTTAAGTAAAAAAAATAGTTTTGTAGTTTTTGATTTTCTTGGATACGAAAAATTATTAAAAATTTCGCAGTTTGAGAATCACCTCAAAAATTTATTACTATTTCTTTTATTTACATCTTTTTGGGTAAAATCAATCCTTTTTTAACACACATCTTTTTAGATCCTATAAATATGTAACATTTAAACGAAACAGTATAAAAGTACTATAAAATTTTCTTTCTACTGATTTTCGAGAAAGACTGAAATTTCGTTCGTGAAACGAATTTATAGAAATATCTTCGATCGTCTCTTGTTTCAAATGTTCACGAGTTCTTCGGTTTATGTTCCATTCAAGTTGAGGATTTACGTTCTACGATTTTTCACATTGTTATTTTTCCATATATGATAATCCAAGGACTCCTTTACGAAGAAATAGCTTTTATACTCGAGTCTGCTAACACGTTGTTGCTCATTCACATATATTTATCTTAATATTTTTACATGGAATGCTGTGTCGAAGGATGCTAGATCGAAAATAGCTCCGGTCAGCAGTTTTATTAGACCGTTTATCATGATTTTTTCATGAAAAATCTTATCTCTTTGCTGGCGCCATGCAATTCGCGTCTAAATATATTTGTATTATTGTCCTTCGTGAGAAATATAATATCGCATCTATCAAAGGAGAAGGGTACAACTTGCGCTATATAGTTCCGAGATACCGATGTACTCTCCGTTCGATTAAGCGGCTCGCAGAGGTCAAACGGCGTATCGTATGACTCGCGATGGGTCACTTAATTCGCCCTGAAAGCCGTGGTAAAGAGGTACGAAGTGCCTCTAAAGTACTTGGTACTTATCTTCTGCTCGTTTGCGCTTCGCTGAAAACAAGAAGACATAAGAGAGAAGGTCGGAATCCAAGAAGAAAAGATAGGTAGACGCGCTTCGATCGTTATACTGGTCAACTACTCTCATTAAGGTTTGCGGCTCTTGCGAAAATGCCGCCGCGACTGGCCGGCTGTAGCCGGAGTCACGAATCGTCGTGAATTCGTCGCAGCTTTTGCCGGTAATTTGCGATAATATTATAATCAGCCCCTTGCTGGGCCCGAAGAGGTGCCGACCCCACGCCCCAGGCCGAATTGATGACCCGTGGAATCGTACGCCTTGCCGCGCGTAGCGGTGTGCCCTTATTGACTGCCCTCTTCGCAAGCGAATATTTCTTCAGTTCCTGCGCGTCTTCGGGTCCGTCTGATGTCTCGAAAGCGCTTTCGAGATACCAATCGCATGTCCCGCTGACTGAACTCTCACGCGTATACATATATATATATATATATATA